ACGACATTAAGTTATGGCGAGAAGCTAACAATGGGATTTCTTGGGTTCGTAAGTTGTAAACCAAAAAAGGAAGAATTTGTAATTATTGGATTGCAAGTTGCTGGTACTGTTTTATTTTCTTCAACCGATTTTTAAGTAAATACTAATACCGGAACAAATTTTTAGGGGATATTTTGCATCTCAATGTGCTTATAATAGATGCGACAGATGTACATCATTACTATCATTTGAAATCGGTAAAAATTCCTGTTCAACGGGCAGATGAAGCTATTGTAACGAATTTTGTGGAGACCTTATTAATCATGCGGGTATGTTGGCGGTGTTGCATCTGAGCTTCTACTCTTATTGTGTTCATTCCATAGAATATTTTATTTGTCAATCAATATATCTCTCCTACATCATGCACCAATATTCAGATCACGTAAGAATATAGAAAAAAGTACAACAGTATCTTCAGATCAAAGAAAAGATTAACATGTATGTCATATTTTATATAGATGTCTAATATGTTTGGCAATAGAGAACTATGTAATTTGATTTTTAATAAACTCACAATATGAACAATTTCAACTGAGAATATCCGAATCGAGATTATTTACCTCCAGATATCTGCATAATCAAACATTGATTTCACATCTTGCGTGTTCTTATTTATAATATTTATAAAGTCTTCGTCAATTCTATATATATACATATCCTTATTTTTATATTGTGAGTACTGCGTAGGATTCATAGTGTATATTTGCCTTGAGTTCTGCGTCTGTTATTTTTAGATTTACGAGGCATATTAACATATCTATATAAATAAATGACTTCAATTTTCCCCGATTAATCTCGGATAAAAACACGAATGAATATAAATGGTTATGTAGATCTTGTTTTATTTTACGAAATAAAAACTTTACTGAAGTAAAGACATAAAAATAAAAATATAGCCCCAGAAGGACGTAAAAAATATGTATTACCATTACATCATGGCAATACCAATAACAAAATCGCCTCATTAGTTCTCCGGT